AGATCTGTAGAGATTCGTTTTACAGAAAAGGAAATCAGTAATAATGTAGCCAAGGTCAAGAATAGACATACACACACCTACCCAGGGCTGTCAGACCTGCTGGGGGCCATGAGAGAGAAGCCTAGAGTTATCTGGGAAGTGTGACCCCAAGCAGATGCCTTCTCAACTGCTTCTGGGATCTGGGATCTGGGGTGCTGGCAGCTTGGCCCCTAATCCCTAAATTCTTTTTTTTTTTTTTAAGGTTTTTATTGTGGATTGAGTGAAAGTTTACAGGGTACATACATCATCAATTTCACATTCAAACATTCATATACCTTGTTTCATTACATTGATTATAATCCCCTCCACATACCATCAGTTAACAGTGTTTCTCTCTATCCTCTTTAGCTTTTTTGGGGGGGGGAAAAACTGCCTTTTTGGAATTTACAGTCTCGGCTTTTAGGGAAGGTTTTTACATTTATCTGTGGGTATCCAGGGCTCATGTATGGAATTACTAACCAGCATAACTGAATAATCAGATGAGGGACAGTTTGCTATGTCTGCTAGGTGGCTATAGTTTGATCCTCAGAGCCTATGGTTTGGACAGTCTGCAACGTTTGGGCCCACAGGACCTCGGACTCCTGACCGAGTCTGTACGGTCTGCACCAGATTCCCCCTTATTTATTATTTGTTTACGGGACAATCCCTAAATTCTTGCCTCCCAACACCCACATGAGAGGTGTTCACCTGAAACTCTGGCCTTCAATCCCAAGCAGCCAGGTTCTAACTGTCATAATTTCCCAGCATTTATAAAGCTCTGTGCCCAGACAGGCCCCAGGGAACCCAGAGACACATCCAGAAAGTGAACCAGGAGACAGTTTGGCACCCAATTCATCTAGAAGGGTCCTGGGCAATATGGCAGGAAGCAGGTCTGGTCTCTCTGACTCTGTCCCACCTCCAACCCCAGCCTGGCTGGCCACAGCAAAGGGTCTGTATGACTCTGACCCTTACAATCTGGAGGCCCAGAGATGTGACACTACACCTTCATTGTCACACAGCAATTCAGTGGCTGGGTTTTGCTTGGATCCACCCAACACCAGGGTCACAAGCTTCCTCCAGTCCAAGCTGCTCCTCAAACACATTTAACCCCAGGCACGATTGCCTTAACTGCTCCAGGTACCACCACAAACTTGCCTCAACCACTATCTCGAAAAACTCAGTCCAGTTCCCCAGGGTGGAATTCCAGGAAATAAAATCCTTACCTTAAGCGTGTCTGGCCTCCCCACACCTCATCTCTCCCATGATGGCACTATCTCAACAACCTTCCCTCTAGGGCATGGGATGCCCGGGACTCCAGTTCTGTCAGGTGCCTTGAAACAAATAAGCCCGGCCCTATCACCCAGGGGTTCTGCCCTCATTCTCCAGCTGTGGCTGTGGAAGGGACCACCCATCTGGTGTGTGCGTTATGGACTACACTCCCCTCCCCCCACCTCCCACTGTGGCTACATCTCCTTCAGGACCTGGTCGGATTAGGTCACTGGAAAGAGGAAGTGTGTCTGGCCAATTCCAGGTGTCTCCCACGGCCTTCTGGGGGTTGTGGCCGGGCCCCAGCAGGTTGACCACAGTTGACGGAAAACTAATGGCCTGTACACTGAGTCTGGGAACGACGCCACTAACCCAGGACCGAGTCTGCGTTGCCGCCTCCCAGCCCACACCTCCGAACCCCAGGCTTCAGGATCACCAAGTGGAAGCCCCACAGCAACTTGCAAGCGACCTTGGCAAAGGCCCAGTCCCCTTCCCACTGCGCTGTTTTCAAGGGGTCCTTCAGCTCCAAGTTCCTCCTCCTTTAGACGCATACCCCAGAGTTATCTGGCGTACATACCCCCCACCTCACTCCCGCTCCCGGTGAGACAGGACTAGGAGACCCTCCATCCCGCAGACCCTCCGGGAGGAGCATCCTACCAGGTCTCCCGTTGTGCGTCGGTTCGCCAGTCCTAGGCTCGGTCCCTGGCAAGACCCGGGACGCAGACACGCGGGGACCCCACCCTCTCCCTGCAGCAGCCGGGCCCGGACCCCGCGCGAGGCCGCGGGCGCGTGCAGACCTACCCGCTCCACATCTCCGTCCTGCGGAGCGCCCGGGTGTCCGGTCCCCGCACCACCGCCGCCGCCACCGCCACCACCGCGTCTCACTGGACCGCCCCGCGCCGTCCCAGCCCACCGCCGACTCCGCCCCGGTCCGCCGGCCAGCCCTCAGCCTGTCGGTCCTTCCAAAAGCCTGTGTGACTGTGTGTCCGGGACCCCGGGACCCCAGTCCGACCCGGCCCCTGCGGGTCACATGGCCCAGGGGGCCGGGCGAGGACACGTGCCCAGCCCCGCCCCCGGTCGCCCTGCGCGGGGTGCTCACGCGCGCTCCCAGCTCTGCCCGACTGGCCTCCTGCCCTGGACAGTGCCATCGTTGGCAGACTCTCCCAGCGGACTCCCCTCCAGCCATATTCTGCCCTAGGACAGAGCCCCACATCACCCCTCTCGAGAACCTACAATGGCTCCCAGGATGTGACAATCATCATAAACACCCTCCCACCCGCTCCGGCCCTCCCACCGTGCTCTCCTTCTCTGGGTCCCTGCTCTGTGCCTGTCCCTGTACAACAGCCTGGCTGAGGTTGTGGGGACTGAGGAGGACTGACCCCATAAAGAGGGTTCTCGGTCCTACCTGCAGAGTGCTTATCTGAGGGGCACTTAGCTGGCCCAAGCCTGTCACCCAGCCTCAGGCCTCAGGGATCTCCTGCCTCTCAACACACCTGTTCATCCCTGTCTTTGCCCATCACCCACCCCTTCAAGAATGTACCCCACCCACTCACACACCTGTGTGGTCCCTTAAGCGCTGCAGAAACCTTTCCCTGAATGTCTTCAGCTCATTGGTCTACCTGTCCCTGCCCCTCAGTCCCTCTGATCCACCTACCCCAAACCCTGATCATCTGACTCAGCTCCAGCCTAAGACTGGATCCTCTTAGAGCACAATCCTAATCGGCTCCTGTCTGGGACTGCTGTTCCACCCTCAGTGTCTGGGGCGGTACGTGGTGGAGAAAGGGCCCCTTCCCTTCCGGATGCCACCAGAACTCTGAGTGCTTCCCGGCTCAGGGACTCAGGGACTCCAGGCTTAAGTTTTCAGGTCTCCATTTGGGGAGTCCTGGTGTGGTGCTGTGGGATAAAGCACTGAACTGCAAGGTTGGTTTGAACCACAAGGTTGGCAGTTCAAACTCACCAGTCACTCCTTGGAAACCCTATACAGGGTCACTGTGAGTTGAAACAGACTCAATGGCACTTAATAAGAACATTTGGGGATATGTTTCTTTCTTTCACCCACCACTTCCTGAGTACAAACTATGGGCCGTCAGACAAGAGCTAGGATGCAAAGGGAGGTAAAACAGACAGAAACCCTGCCCTCCTGGGACTCCAGTCTGGTGGGGGTGGGATGGGGACACACTCCCAAGGACCCCTCACTTACAAAGCCACTGTTGGCCCAGGGTACACCTTGCCAAGTGAATGATGCCCTTGTTTAAAATAGACAACAGTGCCCCCTCCCCAGGTGAACGTAATCCATGCTAAGGTACGGGACTTGGTAAGTGGAGGGCAGGATGAATTGTAGGCAAGCCTTACTTTCTCCCTCTGTCAGCACTTTGCACAGGGAACGAATTAGACAGCCCTGCATGGTATCCCTTCTGCCTTTCAGAAGCATTCTGCTCAGATCGTGAATGCCCTTCACAGACCCTGCAGGACAATTGTTTCCCTGATTGTGGCTTCTTAAGAGCAGGGACCAGCTCCTTCTCAGCTCTGCTCCTTACAAGATTCCAGTTCAACACAGGGTATAGTCCAAAGCAGGAATCTTGATTATGTTTGTTGAGCTGAAACCTTCCCAAGAAAGTCTGTCTTGAAACACTACTGTGTCCCTGCTCTCCCTTGCTCTGTACACTATTTAGGGGAAGGACAAGAAGATGAGTTAGGGATGCCAGCACAGAGCCCTTGCCCTCCATTGTGGTGCTGTAGGATCAGCACTAGACTGTGAACCACAAGGTCGCCAGTTCAAACCCACCAGCTGCTCCTCGGAAACCCTATGCAGGGTCTCTATGAGTCGGAACCAACTCGACCGGCACTTAACAATAACAACAGGCAGGAGATAAGACCTGGCCCAGGTCACGGTAACCCAAACTGGAGAAGATAAGGAATGTAGCAGGAGCAGCCCAGGGCTCTACCTCCAGAGCTCACAGAGGGCTGGTGGCCTGGGAAAACCCTTGAGGGAGGTCTCAAAGGACAAGTGAGGGGTCATCATTCCAGAAGCATGGATACTCCACTGATGCAACACGAATATACTGTTATCTCTGCATCCAGTTACCCTGGCTTCTTCCAGCAGCTTCTCCACTGGAAAGGATGGACTCAGAGAGGCTAAGGAACCTGCCTGCTGTCACACAGCCAGTGATGGGGAGGCAAAGACCCCTTACACCAGTATTCCAAAAAAGATACTCCAGAAGCCAGAGGACCTGTTGGAAGTACATAGTCAGGTAGCAAAGGTACTGAGTGCTAGGTGCCTGGTGAGGGTGACTGGGAGACAGAATCAATAGGGTGTCCTTTACCCAGGATCCACCGCCCCACTCCAGCCAAACCCTTATTACCCTCACCCCCAGTCTGGCAGCCCTGGCCACAGGCTCTTATCTGGGGGCAGATGACGGCAGGAAACAGCCAATCTGCTTGGTCCAGGACTTGATTCTGGACTCCACTCACTGTGTGACCCAGGGCGAGTGTCTTGCCCTCTCTACGCCTCAGTCTCCACCTCTGTACAACTGAGTTAGACAGAACGCCCAGAACCGCCTCCTGGAGCTGACCTTTAAGAGACTCCTGAAATCCTCCATGGCTCCATGCAGTCCCCCATGCCTCTGTATGGAGCCCAGCTCTCAACAGCCCCTCCCCAAGTTCTCCTGCAGTATGGTGGAAGCCTCTTCCCTTCACATCCCAGGTCCCTGGCTCACCTGTCTGTGTCCCCAGGCTCCTCTCCCAAGTCCCCCTCAAGTGCAGGGCCCAGGGCTGATGGGGTGTAGTGGACAGTCCCTGATCTCATGGCCAGGTACACCGGGCAATTCCCTCGGGCGGGGCACCTCACAGGCTCTTCAGGGCTGTCCATGTCTGAGGGGTCAGGCTGAGTGTCCTCCGGAAACAGCCCAGTGGGCAGGTGACAGGAGCCTTCTCCCAGCCCCCAGGCGGAGCCGCCTACTAACCTTTGCTATCTCTGAGAAGCAGCGGGCCTGGAGGGGAGGCACCTCCCAGGCAGACCTCTATCTCCTGAAACCCCATAATTATTAACTCCCTGGGTTTAGCAGGCAGATGACGCTGGGGCCTCCTAACCAGGCTTTAGGCCAGGGAAGGGGAGACGCCCCAGGTTGGTTGAGGCTCACCCCTTTATGCCTGAGGCCCAGGCTTCAGCCAGGCCTGTAGTTGACCCCTCCCCATCCCAGTTGGCATGTTGGAAAAAGCCCTGTTCAACCCTGGCCATATCACTAGAGGTTGTATGGCCTTGGGCAAGTGACTTAACCTGACGGGACTCCTTTCCCTCATCTATAAGATGACAGGAATCCTGGTGTGGCACTGTAGGATAAGCACTGGACTGCTAACCACAAGGTTGGTGGTTCAAACCCACCAGCCGCTCCTAGGAAACCCTAGATAGGGTCACTATGAGTCAGAACTGACTCGATGGCACTTAACAATATGATGAGAATAGTTCTCTCCTGTGAAATTGTGGCAGTCGAAGAAGATACGATATATAAAGTGTCTGCTGTAGTGTAGATTGAAATGCGTGTCCTCTTCTCTTTCCTTTGTCTTCCCCCACCCCCACCCCCCCGGGAGAAAATGCAAGTGTCCTGGGTGCCACCTGAAGGGGGCGCCACTAGGCAGCTTCTTTTATCCCGGGTACAACCCTGAGTCCTTCCACAAGCTCTGTAGACAGCTGTTACGTGCCTTCGAGTTGGTTCAGACCCATAGAACCCTGTATAGGGTTTCCCATGAGTGGCTGGTGAATTTGAACCACCGACCTTTTGTTTCAAACAGACCTTGCAGTCCATTGCATTATCCTACAGGGTCACACCAATTCCATATAGACCCTCTGGTGGGGCGCACTTGCCCACCCCCAGGGCGGAAGTCCAAGCAGGGAACATTCCAGGCACCACAAATATGAAAGGCGCCAGACTGAGACAGTCTGACAAGAGGGAAGAAGGCGTTTCTGCAGATGCTGCTTCGCCATTACCAACCTCTATTCATCTTGAATCTGCAATTTAATGATTGTCCCTGGGTGCTTGAATTGGGTGGGGGTGTGTAATTTAAATTTAGACATTGACCGGGGGCTCATTACCCTCTCTACACCCCTGCCTGCGGACAACAGTGTCTCCCTCTAAGCTTCGGAGCTCTCTCAGCCTAATGTAAACCAGATGCGAGCCTCCCTTTCCTGGCAATGAATTTTCCATGGCTTGCTTCCACCCTCTTCCTGTTTTTGCTCCTTGCTGAACCCCCTACTAAATTCTCCCGTGCCCCCACCTTCCTCTAATCAGTCAACCTCTGGGTCCACCTGGAAACAATCAATGGAAAACAGGATATGTGAAAGTGGGGGAGGTCCTCGTTATGGGACAGGCTAGGAGGGGAAAGGGGCTCAGCCTGGCTGTTGGCAAAGTGTCAGGGAGTCAAACCCCAGACAGCCCCTCAGAGGGAAACTGACTCTGAGCTACCCTGGGGAGTGTGTAGACAAACTCGCTTTCTGGACATACAGACACAGACGAGCAGCATGGGGAGTCATGTGGACCTTGTGCTGTCTTAGAAAATTCAGAGCCAGAAGAGGTCCAACCTTATCCTGTTGCAGATGAGGAAACTGAGGCTGAGAAGTTTGTCTGAGGTCACTGGTGGGTCAGAAGCAAGAGGCAGCCAGGTCTGGGACTGCTTGCCAGTTAAAGCTTCTGTCCAGAGTCTCCTCTGAGGTTTGCTGTCCCTTCGTCATTCCTGCCCCTCCCTGTGGCTGGGCAGCTGAGCCCAGTCACGAGGGGAGTCTCAGAGGCCACTGTCCAGCCATCGCTGGGCTGCAAGCAAGAGGCCACTGTGAGCACCTGGCTGGCAGACCTTGAGACCCTGAGGCTTGTGTGTGTACACGCATGTGCATCTGAGTCCATGTGTGTATGTGCACACGTGTGTTGTGTACGGGCTTGTATATTTTTGCATGTGTTCATGCATGTGTGTGTTTGTGTATGAGAGAGAGAGCCCTCGCAATGAGGACTCCCCCTTTGCATGAAACCAACAGCCTCTGGGCTCCCCACAAGCCGGCCTCTGGCTGCCCCGCCCTCTGCCAGCTGTGCAGAATGTTTGGATAACTGGATGGAATGTTTTGCAGGGAGAGTTCCCTCTGGATCCCTGAGCTCAGATTTCAAGAGGGAGGGAGACAAGGATGCTGGCTCTGAGGTGAGGGGGGAGGAGGTCCAACGTGGTCCTGAAACACCCCACCCTCATCCCAGGCCCAACTGAGACCCCTCAATGGGGAGCTGGAGTCTGGCCCAGGACCCTCAGGGAAGGGCAGGGCCGAGGGTGTGGGCAGCTAAATGGTGTCAAAGATTTAGTCAGACCGACCCAGTGAAGTCAGGCACCAGGATCCTCTGGGTAGGGGAAGGGCTAGGTTCTGGAAAGCACTTTGTGAATGCTAAGACCCTACAAAACAGTATGTCTACCACCACCCCATTTTACAGATAGGGCCATTGGGATCGGGAAGTGGCAGGCACTTGTCCCAGGGGACAACTGGCTCAGACCCAGCACTGTTGATGCTCTCCGCTCCTTCTTCTCAATGCCCAGGAAGTCCCCACCTTCACCCCCAGCCCCAGGGACACACACACCCCAGTCAGGAAACGGTCATCCTTGCTCTTCTCCAAACATCTCGGGCCAAACAACCTCCTCAAAGGCAGGGACTCAAGTTCACAAAGAGAATACACAGACTTTGAGCTCTCAGTCAGCAGCTCCTGGAGACCAGCAGCAACACACTTATGGACAGAGAAGAGGAGACCCTGAGAATCAGGATTCCTGTTTGGGGGCTGGAATTCCCCAAGACTCCACTACAGCTGCCCAGGCCTTGTGGAGCCCCCTGAAGAAACCCATTCTATGGTTGAGGAAAACCCGCAAGTTCTAGACTCGATTGCATGCAAGATTCTTGGAGCCTCTTTGTGTTACTGTTATTGTTAGGTACCATCAAGTGAAATCCAATTCATAGTAACCCAAAGGGAAAAAGTAGACCTGTCTCGCAGGGTTTTCTAGGTGCAATCTTTATGGATCATATCACAGATCTTTCTCCTACAGAGCCACTGGGTGGTTTGAACCAATAACCAGTGAGTTAGCAGCTGGGCGCTTAATCACTGATCCCAGTTGACCTATCTTAAAACTGGGAAGATATCCTTGCCTCACTTAACCCATCACCATATAATGAGGGATTGGGGTGGGGGTTATTGGTGGACCATTTTGGAAGCTTACACATTTTCCTGCAGCTAAGCCAATGGAATTCAAAGACAGAAACTAGAAGGAAGGCATTCCTTTGGGTCCAGATCAGTATGGGAACCCACCTGTGACCAGGGCTGGAGTCCTAGAAGTGGAACCTGTTTGCCCACTTTCACCTCCCCACCTAATGGAATTTGAAAGCCAGATAAACCTTCAAGGAGAGATACGCCTAGTGACACAGGAACAGATAGTGGAATGCAGGGACCACATGCGTGGTTGTTTACATATACTACCTGATTAAGGTCACCCTCACAACCACCTGATGGGGTCCTTCATTGCTTTCTGCTCCCGTTTTAGCGATGAGGGGATTGAGGCTTGGGAAGATTAAAAGATGAGGCTAAAAGCTAACAAGGGATGGGACTGGAATTTTAATTCTCCTCCTCCCACCACTCACCTCAGGATGAAGACTAAGGTAAGGCTTTCTCGAAAAGGCAGAATTTAAATCTATAGAAATTGAGGAACAAAGGCCAGGGCACAGACTGACAGACAAATCTTTCCCTTTGTTGTTGCTGCTATGCTTAAGTGCCATCTAGAAGGTTCCGACGCATGTTGTTGTTATGTGCCGTGGAGTCGGTTCCGACTCATAGCGACCCTGTACAGGGTTTCCAAGGCTGGAAATCTTTACGGGAGCAGAAAGTCTCATCTTTCTCCAGTGGAACAGCTGGTAGTTTCGAACTGCTGACCTTACGGCTCACAGCCCGATTCGTAACCACTACGCTACCAGAGCTCCTTAGGTTCCGACTCATAGCCACCCTGTATAGGATTTGCAAGGAGTGGCTGGTGAATTTGAACTGCTAACCTTGTGGTTCAAACTAACCTGCGGTCAATGCCACACCAGGAGTAAAGAAAATTCTAGAAAGGCAAGCTCAGGTCCAATCACAAAAAGCACAGAACACCAAGTTAAAGAATTTGGAGTTCATTCTGGAGGGTCCAGGGGGTTGTTAGACATTTTTTTATTTTTTTGAGTAGAAGTGACATGACCAGAGCCCACTTCATGAAGATGAAATTGACAGCCATATGTGTAGAAAATAGAAGGGAACATGTATCCGATAGCCAGAGAGGGAAAAACTTAGAAACATTTGAAGAGATCTCAACAGAAAGAGATCGATAAATCTATCTACATTAAAATTTAAAACTTCTCTACTTCCTCCCATCCCAAAATTAAAAGACAAATAACCTGGGGGAAATTCCTGGCAAATGACAAGATGTTAACATTTTTAATCTATGAAGAGCTCACAAAAATCAATACGAAAGTCACTTGGAGTACAGTAGAGGTGTTCATCCATTCAGTCAAGAGTTGTTCAATGAGCACCTACTAAGTGCCCCGTGCTGATTATATCTTATTGTTGTTATGTGCCATAGAGTAGGTTCTGACTCAAAGCCACCCTGTACAGGATTTCAGAGGCTGTAAATCTTTACGAGAGCAGAAAGCCTCATCTTTCTTCTGTGGAACAACTGAGGTTCGCAGCCCAATTCGCAACCACCACGCTACGAGAAGTCTTGATCATATTTTAGTGAGCATGATAAAGTTTCTGCATTTGAGAATTATATCGTTTGGGAGAGTGTTGAGGATGGGGATTCAGACACTTAATTACAACACTGTGTAACTTA